TAGTCATCTAGGTCTACAGCTGAGGTTAAGGATCTCATTGCACAATTGAAATCTCATGAAGCCTCCAGAGTTACTAAAGGCAAATAAATACAGGTGAGTCCCTGTGCTGAGCTGTCCTATGTACTCATAATAACTTGATAGCATATTTTCCTTCTGAGTGGAATGAGGCTATAGTCATTCCTTTTTATAAGAATAAAAAAAATAGATTCAACTCTGCTACTTACAGATCCATTAGCTTGCTTAATACAATAAGCAAGATATATGCAAAATATCTTTATTTAAAATTATTGCATTGGATCAAAAATCAGAATATTCTTGCTGATGAGCAAGTGGAACTTAGAGGGGATTGTTCAACATTGGGCCACTGCCCAGTATTATTTAGCTGAAAAATACACCTTGTTACTCAAAGACTCTTTTTTTCAGCCTTTGTGGATTTCAAATAGGCTTTTGATTTGATTCCAAGGGACAGACTGTGGCAAAAACTACACAGATTCTCAGTGGATAAAAATCACTCCTTTTAATTTGGACTCTTTATTTTAACACTTAACTCAGAGCCAGATGATTCCCCTGGTGGTACCTTTTGGGATGTTGTCTGTTTCCATTCAAAAAGGAGTAAGCAAGGGGTGTTTCCTAACCCCCTATTTCTCAATCTTTTTGTTAATTCAATAATTTAGGCTCTCACATCTCCTTTTCATTACTCTCCAATATTAGCAGAGTATGCAATATCAGCCTTGTTAAATACAGATGATGTAATAATGTTATCTGTTTTCCAGGTGGGAATGAGAAGGCTATTGAAGGCATTTCTTTTGCCGAATTATCAAAAAAACCCAAAGTTCTAGTTTTTGAATTTCAATCAGGGGTGGGTTCTACTTACCTTTACTACCGGTTTGCAGCGGGGCCACATGCGTGCACTCACTTTGCTCTCTCTCTCTCGTGCTCTTCTGCGCAAGCGCAGAAGAGTTTTGATGACGTCGGGGTCAGTGGGCGGAGCCTCCCGCCAGTTTTACTACCAGTTCTATAGAACCGGGGCGAACCAGGGGCAACCCACCACTGATTTCAATTATAGGGTGTATAAATGGCAAATTAACAGAACTTTAATAGAGCAAGTATAAATTCATACATATTTTGGGGTACAGTTCTTGCCCTTTTATCTTGGAGTACATTTCTCATATCAACTCAGGAACTCAGTGTCTGGATATTCTTCCATTCAGAGGGAGCACATTTTATTCCACTTTGCAAGATCTATCTCAGTTACTTCTCAGTTTAGTCTTACCAATAATTTTAGGTATATGTGTAATGTTTTCTGGCCTAAAGGCTGTAATAAAATCTTTTGCTGTTGTTGCAGCTTCCTATTGTAGAGAGACCTGTGATCAAAATAATGAAGATCAGTGATTTATGTAGGAAATTATTTATTTTTCCTTTTCACCTGAATTTGGGAAGATTACTAAAGCAGTGTAAGACAAGAATAGTCAGCTTTAGAGAGGCTGGAGAGTTTAGCTTTGCCTCTTGCTTTTCGGTAGAAGAACAGGAAGACCGGGGAGGAGGGGTCAGTGAGTCATCAGCCTAGAATCTTTGACCCTTATCTACTCCCAATTTAGCACTGAATATTGATTAGTTGATTAGATTCTTGTATATAGGCTTGAGTAATAAATCTTGACTACAACTTAATGTATGGTACTGATTCTTTGTGCCTGACACTTTCTTGAGCATCACAGGTGATCATTATGACATTACCTGAAGAACAAGGTGGAAACCTTTTACTCCTTTTAGGTATGTAAATGGAGGGTCCTTCCATTCCCATCTTAATTGCAACACAAATGTTTGCTCAGAACTGTACTGCTGATTTTAATTTAAGTGACATGGTTTTGGATTAGGTTGGGGCTATCCTTTCATCCTTGTCCTTGATCATATACTTATTTCACTGCTAATTTTCAGTGATGAGAATCAAGTGCTGGAGGAGAACCTTGGGTCATTCACTTTTGGCAATAGCTTAAATCCAAAAAGCTATCTCAGATATGTTCAAGGTTTTGATAAGGGAAGTATAATAGCAATAGCACTTAGACTTATATACCGCTTTATAGTGCTTTTACAGTCCTCTCTAAGCAGTTTACAGAGTCAGCATATTGCCCCCAACAATCTGGGTCCTCATCTTACCCACCTTGGAAGGATGGAAGGCTGAGTCAACCTTGAGCCAGTGAGATTTGAACTGCTGAACTGCAGCTAGCAGTCCGCTGAAGTAGCCTGCAGTATTGCACTCTAACCACTGTGTCACCTCGGCTCTTAATTTATGATATCAGCAGTGTTCTTTTCTGGTTTAAACTTCATAAGTTTTTGAAACTTCTGACTACTAGAGGAAATTTGTAAAATTTATTTGCTCCTCTAGCTCTTCTTATATTCGCCCCAGGAACTACTACTGTGGGAGATATCCTCAACATCCTACGTAACCAAGATGATTATCCTGAAAGTGATACAGGTACAATAGGCTTTGTATCTATCTTATAAACAGCAATACCTATGGTACAAGCAGTAGAAAGAGGGGACTGATATAATTAGCCATTTCATGCTTTCTTTTTCTTATAGATTGATAGCCAGGTGGTGGTTAACTGGCCATGTCTATCATAATTGGTCCTTATATAAGTTCAGAATGTAGCATTTGGCAACATATTCTCAAGAAAGTCATGTGGATATGTAAGAGAGAGCTTCCATAATGAAAGCAAAGTGAAATATTACCTTGCTGCAGCACTACTTGATGACTAGATGATAAATGGCACATGCAACAACTTTTAGTCACGGCAGCACATCCTTTAGCACGTGCTGCTCTTAAGCATAGCATCTGCCTTTGGGACAGTGACAATAGAAATAAAATTCACTAATTCAAAAACTATGAACCCAAACTATGTGGACATGTGCTGTGTTTGTTTATGAGCAGGATTTAAGAAACTAATAAAATGTAACTTAAAAGTAAGCACCATACAAAGTATAAACCAAATAAAGAATGGGGTGGGTGGGGATGATATAAAACTAGTAGAGAAGAATATTGAGAGAGGTTATCTGGCCTTCCCTTCCTTCCAGAGAAAATATTATATTATAAAAGGCAGTATATTCTCCGAGTCCTTTTACTACAAAGATATTTACTTTTCACTTTTGGAAAGGAACATTTATGGCCTCAATATTCAGGGGACTGAAGACCTGTTGTTATTTGAGATTTATGAATGGTTACAGGCACAGAATATGTATGAATGTTTATCATGAAATATGCATCCTTTGTTGAAATTTCAGTGTAAATTTCTATATACATATATGCATGGATGAGATAGCCATATTTGTGTGTCTCTGTCTGTGTGTATTTTTATTGGTTGTTCTTTCTAATTAAGTGCTAATAAAATATATTTATTGTATATTTAAGTCTATTAAAACAAAAATAAAGGTCAGATGTCATAAGAACTGCTTTTGATGAATAATACATTTCAAATATTAGTCTGATTAAATCAGTACTACAAGTGCTTGCTCTTGCTATACAGTAATATCAGCAGGGCTGGTCAATCCAAACATGACTGATCCACTTGTGTAACCATGGGTCATATATATACACACACACACACACACACACACACACACACACACACACACACACAGAGATGTGCAGAAGTAGTATGTAATCATTATCTCAGGTTTGCTGCTTAGAAGTAGGACCTTGATATGTTGCTCAGAAGGGCTCCTTTGCTCAAATACGCAATGCAGTGAACCCTCCTGAAAGTCTGCATTGATGACCTAATGTTCAGCTTCATCATATTGAAGGTAAAATGAGGCTACACTGGTTGGAACTATCCTTGTGTCATGTTCTTGTCACTGATTTATGCTGTCTTCTATATTATAGCGAAAAAGAAGGTCTGAGGTGGAGAATCTCCTCTAGACCTGTACATAGGATCCCCTGCGATTTAGAAACTTGTACTAGATCCTTAACATGTTAGAAATCGATACTGTACACATAAACATCCATGTACTATATATGTTTATATCCATGTGTATGATAAAAATTTCAAATGACAAAACACATGTCATTTATGTGACATGCACACGTGTACCTGACATCAGGATACAAGTACAAAAGGTCAGAGTTTGTACTGAGACATTGGGATGCACATTTTGATTACAATTGTTCATAATCACAGTTTGTATCAGATGCCTATATCAGCTCACGCAGAGCAGAATTCTTGCTCACTCTGAATTCATAATGTGAATTTCTGCTCTCTCTTGTCATATAATTGCAATTGTATCAGAGAAACCATCCAAATATAATTATTGAGTGATGCAAAATTTTCCTCATGGAACTATTAAATTGCAGTACTCTCTCTCAAAGTTCTGTGGCCTTGATTCTTGAATATATAAACATACCACTTGATATTTCTGAGTGAGAGGCTTAGGTTATAAACATTTCACTATTAGAAAATGTGTGCAATTTTATTTAAATGCTTGGTGCTTCCTGTATCTTAATGTACAATGGAAATCATATTCTGAAGAGCTGCGTGTACTTGAACCAAGATACTTAAAGATATTTGAAATGTCTGTTTAAATTCTTAAGCAGAAGTAATATATTTTCAATGTATCTGAGCATCATTTGCCTTGGACTTAAAAACACTTGAATAATATAGAATTTTTTTTAGTAAAATTCATACTGAATCAGGTCTTTATGAAAGTTTGGCATAAAAAAGACAGCAATTGTTCCTGTTTACTAATGGTAAGCCTTACATGCTCTTACCTGCCTCAGCAAATTTTTACTCTATTTTTCTGTGTTTGAAAAGCAATTGTGGAAATTTTTTTTCAAAACAGTTTTAAACTCTTGTTGGAGCAACAAGAATTCCCAGCATTTGTAACGGAAGGTTATATATTATTTATCTCTTTGTTATTTAATTCTGCTGTTTATTAGCCATGGTGGCACATAGAATGGTTAGAATGCAGCACTGCAGGCTACTTCTGCTGACTACTGGCTGCTTGCAGTTTGGCAGTTGGAGTCTCGCTGGCTCAAGGTTGACTCAGCCTTCCATCCTTATTTAAATATGGGCTGAGGCGAGACAATCGGTACAACACTATTTTATTAACAAATGGCAGAACTGAACGAACGGCAACAAAACACCTGACAGCATTTCTATATATGCCGGCTGTCAAACCCAACCACCAATCAGCTGGCACCTTTTCTGGGAGATAACAACATGGCTATTCCCATCCCATGTTTCTCTGGCAAAATAACTGTTAGAATATTATAAACTGAATTTTGGAGATTATAACTCAAAATATATGTGCTGGTTTATTCTTTCTCAGGTAATGACTGCTCTTTCATATTTCCCCATGGGAGAATAACAAGTTGGTCAAAGGGAAGACTTTGGTTACTAATAAGTATCTGTCACTCATCAGCAGATTCCTGTTTTTAAGTATCCATTATTTCAGCATTACCGTTTGATTATTTAAATGATTTTATCATAACTCAACCGCAGGATTTATAGTGTCTCACATAGAATTCTGAACAGAAAAGATTTAGGCTGCTTTGATAGGGTAGTGATAGGGTAGGGAAGAGAATAGTCAATAGCTCTCTGATGCTGTTATTGTCACTTAGAAACTTCATGTGCAGACCTGAAGTGGAATTACTAGATTCTTCTCATCCTATAAAAAACTTCATATCACCTTTATTTTTCATTGAAGCAATATTTTTTATTCAGCTATCCGAAATAGGCAAGATCTTCAGTGTCAGGGTCATCTGGGACTGTCCAATTTCTTTTTTTAGTATGCTTTCTGAGTAAAATAATTTTTTATTTCCTTATCTGCTTGGTTAGACCTTGCCTGTTGTGATTTCACTTTATTTGCCAGCTTTCTCTATGAATCTTGACTGCTTGAATACACTGATATTTACCTAGGAAGCTCTATGAACTACAGTTTATAATCTAAACATAGGCATCTAAGTTACAATACAAAAAGGCAGAGCTTGCATCATGATATCAGGTTGCACATTTATCATTTTGTGTCATTGTGGCGAGCTGACAGTGCCTGTGAACACAGTCTAACACAGGTGATATCTGTTAGCAGTTATTCTTGTCACGGTATGGCTGCTCAGATCTGCTCCTAAGTTTTCCAATTACTGATTCTGAGAATTTGAGGTCTGCAAGAGTAATTTCTGTTCTGCTGATAAAATGCATAGAATAAGATGATACCCAACATGGATTTTGGAAAGAAAATCTGAGAAAAATATGTACTCTTTAATTAGATAATTGATTTCAAGATTCAACTATTGGATCATACCAACTATCATAAATTTAGAGTTGGCAACTATGGAATTAACAATTTCTAATGAATGTTTTGGGCTTTATCTCTCTCCCACCCGGCTTGTGTTTGCTTCCAAGGAGAAGTGATAAGCTAGATAAGGATGCTTGTGAACTATAGAAGGCAGCGATGCTGGTGATCTTGGACAGATCCTTCAGAAGTTCACCCTGAACCTAATTGTATTGAAAATCTACAACACTACCTACAGTGATTGAGAAGCTGGCAGGCCATCAATTACAAAGGAGTCTGGAAGAAAGGATGCTGTATTGGTCATTCTTGTTGATGATACATGATGTTGGGAAACACCAGCCAGGCAGAGGGAAAATCTCAAGTGGGGTATTAGCCTCGAATCTTTGAGCAGATGCAAGAACTAACCCTCCTGAAGAATCTTTTCTATCTGTTCCTAAAAGAAGATAGAATTCTGGGGAGATTCCTGTATAATAGGTAAAATGTAATAAAGTAGTTAGCTTGAACTCTATGTATGAAGATCTGGTTGCTTGCACCTGTACATGGTGAGGTTTAAATGGAGGATTGGAATTCTGGTAGTCCTGCTAAATCTCTTAGCAGTCACTGACTGTGCTAACCTAATCTGCACATGCTGGCAATTGCTTAGTCATAATTGCTTAGCAAATTATTCTGGTTGGTGTGCATTGGCAGGAGAGGTTGAATTCTAGAGTACTCCAATATGAGCTCGACTCTCCCTATCCTATTAACATCTATATAAAACTGTAGATGGGTGCCATTGAATTCTTATATATTTGCATACTTTTCTTATTAGCCAACGAATAACAGAATGCAGCAACAACAAAAAACTGATTCTCCTTTGCATGTTCCTTAGGAATTAGTTAAAGAAGATAAGTTCTTGCACATTCCACAATTATTACATTTCTTACTATTAAAATTATTATTATTTATCTCTCTTTAAATATGCTACTTATTGTATATTCTGTTATCCTAATATCATTATCATATCTGGGCATTTTGATGGAATGTATTTTTCTTCCCATAGTGTTTGATTATTATGTTTTGGGACAAAAGCTATAATGCTATCTTCTTGATAGCTAATGCTACTAGTACATGGTTAATTCACCAATATTAAGTAGCCAAATATCAAACTAAAAAAAAAAAGTGTCATGTTCTTAGTTAGAATGTTGGCAGCTATTAAAAAAGCACCCTTCCCTTGTCTGTCATTCAGGTGATAATTTAATTATTCAATTACTTCCAACTCCTTGTGATATCATTTCTGCTGGATTTTGTGTCACAAACTGCTTTCTGTAATCCTTGGATTTACAATTTGGTGCCTTCCAAATATATTGGACATCAATTCACATTAGTAGTAGGGAAGACTATATGAGGCATAGATCTATTAAACTCTTTTAAGGAAAACCTCCTATCTTAAAAAATAAACCAAGCAAATCAAATGACTTTTGATTAATTCCTTTAGAACAAGTTGGAATATTGTATTGAAAAGATTACCGTTTCTGCTCCATAAAAGAGTTGAAAATTGTAGCTCTCTATCATTGTAATGTCGCAACAAAATAAATAACAGATTGTTTTGGCTGCTTGAGATAACCAACTCTTCCCACAGTAATATGCTTGTGTGTGGTGTTGAGCAACATATTCTTCATATTTATAGAGAAAATATTTAATAGAAGAGGTGAGAATTTAGAATTAAGCAATGACTTTCTAGTGGCTTATATTGGGAATTGTGTACTGTGCAGTATATTAACTGGCAAACTAGATCAGCAATATACAAGCAATTACTACACAGTTATGTTTAATACTCTGCTCATAAATCTCTGAAATGATCATATTACATCATTATAATTGCATTGTAGGTAATGTTTAGGTTAGCAGGTAGAAACAATGGTTGTAATGGTCAAGATTTTCTAAATAAGAGTAACAAATTTATATTAGCCAAGAAATGCAATGTAATATAATTATAAGGAGATCACATCACAATTTTTACCTCTAATTATATAATTATACAAGTTTGAACAACTACTGCTTAATATGAAGTTGTTGATAAAATTCCATACATAATTACAATGCATTTTGATCATTTTCTTAAAACATCATGGAAATTTTGGTACTGACTAGAGACATTTTTATGGTTATATCTGCTTTTACTGTATGCTAATGGGCTTTATTATAGTGGATTAGATATACATAAAAAATGAGGAAAACATTGAGTCATCCCAGACAGATGGCTGTTTAGTCTCTGCTTGAATAGATTCAGTGAAGGGAAGACCACCATTTCTATGAGTAATTGGTTCCACTGTCAAACTATTTTTACTGTTAGTACATTTTTGCTTGCATACAAATGAAGTCTGCTTTCCTATATCTTAAATCCATTATTTCATTGTCTTGCTTTCTGGAACAATACAAAACAGATATTATGACATCCTTTCATGCATTGAAGAGTTCTCCCATGATCCTACAGATTCATTTTCTAAAAAGGCTGAACATATTCAGTGTGAAGAATGAAGCTGGGTTTGCTAATTTGCTAGGTAAAGAAAACTTGTATTTCAGCAGAGATAAGTGTCTTCTAAGTCAATTACCTGTAGACTTGGAAAGATAGAAAGAAAAAGTGTAGAATTTAAACCCTGTAATGTAAATCTATATAAGGGCCTTAACCAGGAGTGAAATCTGAACTGGTTTACTACCGGTTCTCAGGCTGTGCATGCGCAGTGTGCACCACGCACCAAATGAGAGGTGTGCGCAGGCAGCACTCCCCAAAAGGAGGCATGCGGTAAGTAGAACAGCCCGTGAGAGGGGAGGGGGTGATCAGTTGTGGCGCGCAATCTTTTTTTTACTTTTAAAAGCATTGCTTTTAAAAGTAAAAAAAAAAAGGCCTCTGACGATTGCGTGGCTCAGCTGTGATTGTCAGAGGCTTTTTTTAACCTTTTAAAAGCATTTTTTAAACAACCTCTTCAGCCAAAGAGGTTATTAAAAAAATGCTTTTAAAAGAAAAAAAAAGCCTATGACGATCTGGCAGCTCAACTGGGATCGTCAGAGGCTTTTTTTTACCTTTTAAAAGCATTTTTTAACAACCTCTTTGGCCAAAGAGGTTGTAGAAAAAATGCTTTTAAAAGTAAAAAAAAAAAAAGCCTATGACGATCTGGCAACTCAGCTGGGATTGTCAGAGTCTTTTAAAAGCATTTCTTTTACAACCTCTTCAGCCGAAGACGTTGTAGAAAAAATGCTTTTAAAAGGAAAAAAAAGCTTCTGATGATCGTGCGGCTCAGCTGGGATTGTCAGAATCTTTTAAAAGCATTTTTTTTTACAATCTCTTCGGCTGAAGAGATTGTAGAAAAATGCTTTTAAAAGTTAAAAAAAGCGTCTGATGATCGCGCAGCTCAGCTGGGCATGAGGGCGGGGGCAGGGAATTTGCTACCAATTCTCTGAACCACCCGCCGCCATCGCTACTGGATCGGGCGATCTGGTTCGAACCCTGGCTTTAACCATTGTGTACAGTATATATTTTATTACTTTATGAAAAAGACTAATCTAGTTAAGTTTGAGACCCATTGTGATCTTTGGATTAGGGTGATGGAGTAGGAGTGATGAAACCAATTCTAGAAAGCCAACTGGGCAATCTTGGGACAATAATTTTGTTTCAGCCCTAATGAGGTTCTGTGATAAGTTTAATGAAAAATATTAAGTACTGATGACTTCACTTTTTGAACTGGGCAAGTGTGATGTCAAACTAAGCAACCAAACTGTGATCAAGTAGATCACTAAGAACAAGAACAAACAAACAACAAACAACATATGGTGGATGAGATCTTCGGCCTAGTAAGGCAGTTCCTGAATAAAGGAATATGTTTCTGGATAACTTGTCCTGTGAATAGAATAGAATAGGAATAGGAATAGGAATAGGAATAGAATAGAATAGAATAGAATAGAATAGAATAACAGAGTTGGAAGGGACCTTTGAGGTCTTCTAGTCCAACCCCCTGCCCAGGCAGGAAACCCTATATCACTTCAGACAAATGGTTATTCAATATCTTCTTAAAAATGTCCAGTGTTGGAGCATTCACAACTTCTGCAGGTAAGTTGTCCACTGATTAATTCCTCTAATTGTCAGGAAATTTCTCCTTAGTTCTAAATTGCTTCTCTCCTTGATTAGTTTCCACCCATTGCTTCTTGTTCTACCCTCAGGTGCTTTGAAGAATAGTTTGACTCCCTCTTCTTTGTGGCACCCCCTGAGATATTGGAACACTGCTATCATGTCTCCCCTAATCCTTCTCTTCATTAAACTAGACAGACCCAGTTCCTGCAACTGTTCATCATATGTTTTAGCCTCCAGTCCCCTAATCATCTTTGTTGCTCTTCTCTCCACTCTTTCTAGAGTCTCCACATCTTTTTTATATCGTGGCGACCAAAACTGAATGCAATATTCCAAGTGTGGCCTTACCAAGGCATTATAAATTGGTATTAACACTTCATGTGATCTTGATTCTATCCCTCTGTTTATGCAGCCCAGAACTGTGTTGGCTTTTTTGGCAGCTGCTGCACACTGCTGGCTCATATCTAAATGGTTGTCCACTAGGACTCCAAGATCCCTCTCACAGTTACTACTATTGAGCAAGGTACCACATATACGGTACCTGTGCATTTTGTTTTTCTTCCCTAAATGTAGAACCTTCCTTTTTTCACTGTTGAATTTCATTTTCATTTCATTTGAAATGAATTTCTTTTCATTTTTGAATGAAAGTAACAACCAGAAGGGAAAAGATGTAGAAGATAATGCCCACTACTGGACCTATGAAATAGCTTTCATACTCAAGGGTGTATTTACCTTTATTGTTATGTTCTTCTCTGAATGTAAAGTTACAAATTCCTGGGATTTAAAACTAACATGAGCTTTATTCCCAAGAAGTAGAACAAACTAGTAAATTGCCGAGAAGCTTGACTCTAGATGTTATTTTGTATGCTTCACATTTCACTCCATTGTACACTTTGGTAATTTTTCAAAGACCAAGGCACATTTTCCTTTTGGTTATGGCAGATTGATGTTTTGATTCCACACAGTTAATTCTGTCAGTGCGGAAGCCTGTGGGCTGTTTCCTTTTGAAAAATATAAAGAGGTACATTAAAACCTCTTCTCTGTGCCCAAGTAATAATAGTGGTTATGGTAATGTTTCCTCAGTCACATTTGATTGAATGCATCTTAAAGTATAGTGTTGTCATGTTAGAAAACTAATTGGATTTACGTAATTTAAGAAGACCTAAGAAAGAGCAAAGTCTCTGCAGCATATTGTACTTATGCTATGCTTCCTCCCCCAGCCTCAAGGGATGTCAAATATATTTCATTTCCACTACAACATTTTATTCTTTCAACAGCCTTTTGAAAAAGATTAAGTTGAGAGACTATTGGATTCAAGGACACTCAGTAACTGCCTTACTAGGGATATAAACTTGAATATCCCCAATGCAAGATCTTCAATGTCTATGCTGTATATCTCTG